GGAGGGGACGCCGGGAGTGTGGAGACCGGTTAGGGGGCTTTTGCAATCACCCAGCGAGTAGGTGACAAGAGCCTGCATTTGTGTCAAGGTGGCAGCAAGAGTGGAAAGGAGGGTTTCTAGGCAACCTCTCCGGGTCTTGGTTGCTGGCGGATGTGATGGAGGAAGAACAGCGGTCACAGGGCGTCTTTACGTCCCTCCGTCTGCACCTCGGCTTCTTGTTCTTTCACCTCACTGCCTCTTGTCACTGGTGGCTTCCCTCTGGGTCCCTCCCCTCTCCTTTGTGTCTTCTTTCTCTGGGGTCCTTCCTCTTCCTGTCGTCTCTTTCTGCCCCAGCTCTATAAAAATATAAAAGGGTGTTGCAATTAACAGTGAGAAACAGAGAAAGGGGGAGACTGAGGTCAAACAGAAAGACGGAGGCATGGAAGGGCAGAAAGGGGGAGGTGGGGAGTGGTGGGGAGACATGAGAGACGGAGAGGAAGGAAGGGCGAGAGCTGGGCCGGGGCTGGTGTCACGGGGTTGGCGCTGTGCTGGAGGGCGCTCCTTGAGATGGGCCAATCTTGGTTTCGATCTCAGTTTCGAAGGAGGTTGTGTGAAATTTGGTTTCTTTCTTGGGGTGGCCAGCAGTGGGTTTGGGGCTTTCCCTGAGTGGGAGTGGTGGTGACTGGATCCTGTGCCCCACACTCAGGGGAACAGTCCCGCAGCAGCCTCTGTGCGAGCCCAGTGGATTCTTGGAGGTTACAGTGAGGCCAAGATGGTATTAGCCTCAAAGTCGAAGTTGGGATTTAATTCCGACTTTGACTCTAACCCCAATTTAACCTCAACCCAAATCACAGCTCAAACTCAACCCTAATGTCAAATCTAAACACATCTCAATAAAAGAACCCTAAACCAATGGATTCTCTAAACTAACCCAACCCTGTTTCTAGAGCTAATCTCAAAACCAACTATCGCCATGCCCAGCCCTATCGTTCAACCTGACTAAATGTAAGCCCCGCCGGAGCCACAGACCTGAGGTGAGCTTTATCCTGCTTTACCCCATTAGCCTTCCCTCTCACCACTGAGCAAGTCTTTACTGGGCGGCTACTGTGTGCGGGGCCTGTTCCAGGCAGGAGGGGGCTAGTGGCAAACCAGTCAGCCGGCCCCAGCCTACTGGGGCCTGTGTCGTAGGAGGCAGGCGGAAAAGAAGCGCACCAACGAGAAATCGGTGAGGAGTGTTGCGAAGAAGTAGGGCAGCGGAGGGGGCGAGTGGCAGGGAATTACGTGAGACACAGCCACTAGGGAAGTCTTCTCTGAGTGAGTAGCATTTAAGCTGAGACCCAAATGACAAGAGTGACCAGGTGAAGTTTGGAGGAAAAACATTCCAGGCAAAGGGAATAGTTTCTGCAAAGGCTGTAAGGTGCGCACCAGCCAGGGGTGCGGAGGAGCAGAAGGGAGCCGCTGTGGCTGGAGCGTGGAGAGGCATGGGAGAGGCTGGAGATGCGGTCAGGGGGAGAGCCGGCCCAGACCACTCCAGCCAGGTGAGGTAAAGCATCTGGGTGCAGTCAACCGTGGGAAGCCCTGGAGGATTCAGTGTGTGTGTGTGTGAGAGAGAGAGAGAGAGAGTGACAGAGACACAGACAGAGACAGAGACAGAGAGGGAGGCAGAGAGAGACAGAGGCAGAGAGAGAGACAGAGGCAGTGGGGGGGACAGAGAGAGAGAGAGAAACAGAGAGAGACACAG